CTCTCTCTCTTGCTTCTTCTCGCCATGTGATCTGCTTGTACGTACGGGCTGCTGCCACTTTCCACCATGAGCAGAAGCAGCCTGAGGCCCATGCCAGATGCAGCTGTCCCAGAATCTTTGTAAGCCAAATAAACCTCTGTTCTTTATAAATTACCCAGTCTCAGGTAATTCTGTTATAGCAACACAAAATGGACTAATACATATTTCTTTTTCTTTTTCTTTTTTTTAGTACTGTCCTCTAAGTTTTTAACAAGTTTAATTTAACATGACTTACAAAACTCTAACAATTATTGATATTTCTTTTTTTTTTTTTTTTTTAAAGATGACCATTAAGGGGATCTCAACCCTTGGCTTGGTGTTGTCAGCACCACGCTCAGCCAGTGAGCAAACCGGCCATCCCTATATAGGATCCGAACCCATGGCCTTGGTGTTATCAGCACCACACTCTACCGAGTGAGCCATGGGCCGGCCCTAATTATCGATATTTCTATCTGTGCTGTGAACATAAAGGATCTAAGAGTGTTTACATTCTAAAAATCTACCTTCTACCTTACATGTAATTGTTGACTGGTGTTTTGATTTGCCTTGTTTTGCCACCTCTTCCAAAATTTATTTAAAACATGTTTTATAAAGTAGCAGTTGTTTAGATTTGCCTGTGTTTACTGCCATTTCTTTTTTCATCATTGCTTCTGGAATTCTATTTCATCCTTCTATGTAAATTTCTTTCTTTTTGAAGTATATCTTTAGTTGTTCAGAATTTCATCATCTAAATCAAGTCTATGTGTGGATGGGGCACCTCAGGTTGCCCTCTAGAGTTGAAACTTGTGAATGAGACCACTTTTCTGCCCCTCCCCCACCCAACATATAATAATTGGACGGTCATGAGAGAACCACAGTAGACACTGCTCTTGAAAAAGTGGAGGAATGGGAGTCACACAGGAGTAATTAGTCCAGAGAAATTCTAAAGTCCAGCAGGGCATAGGTTGTCAGTTCTTGATTAAGGCTCAAGACCTGGCACTAAGTCTTTATGGCTCTTGGCTTCTCCCTCGGGGCTCTTGATTCAACCCTCTGAGTTATCCATCCATCTTTTCCCACAAAAGGTAGCCTGCACCTACAGATGCATAGTTTTCTCAGCTTCCTGCTTTCAGAAGTTTGGTAGTCGGAAGTCTTCTTTTCCTTTTGTACTACCAATGACCCTTTCTCTTTAAGTTGGCTGGCAGCGTTTCTGCCAATAAATTCTCTTAAAAACGTCATGGGTTGTCTATTACTTTTATTGGGGTTCACTCCATTATACAAAACCACATCTACACATCTCTTTGAGATAAGCCCTTCTCTACCTTGAGCATCTGCCCTTGACTTCTTTTTTTTTAAAAAAAGATAACCGGCAAAGGGATCTTAACCCTTGACTTGGTGTTATCAGAACCACACTCACCCGAGTGGTGAGCCACAGGCTGGCCCATGCCCTTGACTTCTGAGTGTTAACACCCTTAAGCTTCATGGAAGCCCTAAGTTTTGACTGAATGGTTCATTTTTTTTTTTTTTTTTTCAAAAGATGACCAGTAAAGGGATTTTAGCCCTTGACTTGGTGCTGTCAGCACCACACTCTCCCGAGTGAGCTAACCGGCCATCGTACATAGGGATCCGAACCTGTGGTCTTGGTGTTATCAGCACCACATTCTCCCGAGTGAGCCACGGGCTGGCCCCCAACTGAATGGTTCTTAACAGAGCATCTTATAGCCACACTCTTGGTTTCATTTTTGTACCATGTTTTCCTTACATTGTCCTGAATTTGATCTTTGCCTGGGAGCTGTTTCTTAATTCTAGCATTGTTTGACATCTGAAGAGGCAGAAAATGTTCGAAACCAGCAAATTCTCATTCTTTTTAAAGAGACCTTTCTTTAGCTTATCTCTTCCCTCTGATCTTTTATTTTAAGCAGCAAGAAGAAATCAGGCAGCATGTTCAACTCTCTGCTTGGAAATTTCCTTAGCTAAATCATTAGGTACAAAAATGGATTAGCAATCCATTAGGTACATTTCCTTCTTTCCATATTATAGTAAGCAATAATGCTGCTAAAATTTCTGTTACTACATGACAAGGATCCCCTTTCCTCCAGTTTTTAATAGTATTTTCCTGTTTCCCTTAAGTCCTCACCTTTAAAACCTCCTCAGAGTCCATCAAGCTTCTATACTGATTTCTTGTCGTTTCTTTAGGCTTTCACTAACACTCTTCTCACACACATTCAAATTTCTATGACCCTTCCAATTTCCAAGCCATTCCTACACTTTAGGTTTCATTATGGCAGCACAACACTTGTAGGCACTTACATCTTTATTTATCTATTGCTGTGTAACAAATTATCCCAAAACTTAATGGCTTAAAATAATAATAAATGTTTATTATCTCAAACAGTTTTTGTGTTTGAATTTGGCAATGGTTTAGGAATTTCCATTCCCAGTCAGGAATTTGGCAATGGTTTAGCTGAGTGGTTCTGATTTGGAGATTGCATGGTGTTGCGTGGTGTTTCAGTCATCTGAAGGCTCGACTGGGGCTGCAGAATCCCATTCCAGGATGGCTTATACACATGGCTGAGAAATCAATGCTGGTGGTTAGCAGGAGGCTTCAATTTCTTGGCACATGGACCTCCCTGTATGCTGCTGAGTATCATCAGGACATGGAAGTTGGCTTCCCCCAGAGTGAGTGATCCAAGAGAGCAAAGTACAAGTCCCAATGTCTTTTATGCCTTAGCCTTGGAATATCATTTGTGCAATATCCTATTGATGACACAAGTCAGCCCTATTCATTGTGGGATAGGAACATCCAGGGGCATGAATCCAGAAGTAGAGAATCATTGGAGCCACATAATCCAACATAAAGTTAGTGATTTTATTTTTCAAAATGAGTTTGTTTTAATATATATATATATATTTTCTTATTTCAAGAGAAATGTGTTGGTTACATGTTGGTTACAAAAAAAGTACCAAAAAAAAAAGCAATTTTTTCCCCAAATACTCCAACACCTGTATACTTTGAAACCATCACATTTCATACCTAGGTGTATACATCCTTTTATAACTTTTACATTTTTAATAGTTTATTGGTAGAGACTTCCTAAAGTACATCCGAGCATGCTTTGAGCATGTTTTCTTGGCATTTTAAAGTGTTCAAACATGTATCTCCAATTATGTACAGGTTTTTTTTCCCTCCAATAAATAAGCACTGCTTTCTCTTCTTATTCTGATGGTGGGCCAGGGGTTCTGTACAATACCTACCCTTTAAGACTGAGTTTTTGACAAGGCTGTTTCTCTCTCAAGAAAGCCCTTACACTTTAGAAGTGCTTTGAATGGGACACACTAGGAATTCAGAAGCAACTTAAATCCTAATGCCTCTAGAAAGCTGGGCTAACCAGTTTTGGAGAGAAATCTTATATACCTGGCTCTTCCATGCTAACACAATTGGGGCTTGTGTTAAACACAAGCGGCCCAATACTAACATTCTGAAATCAGCGAGCCCAACTTCTAGGATCACAGTTCTGCCTGCTTCTACAGGGAGATCGTTGCTGGTGACAGCCGCATCCCACTTACTCCAGAGAGATTTTTCAGGTGTAGGAAAAGAGGTGGTCCCCAAATCTTGGACATTTAGTCTAAAAGAGTGCACTCTCTCTCTTCTAAGAGCAGTTCTCTGGAAAATCTTGCTATAGGGGTGCTTTCTGAGTTAGAAGGGAAAAAATGAGAAACTGAGAAACCCCCCAGCTTTGGGACCCCTGGAATCCACACACACAGCCCATCAGTCTGTTTTCCTCTCTTTTAAAAGGAGGTTGCCTTTCCCTCCAAAATTTTAGGAAATTATACTGCTAATATGGGTTTATTCTAGAAAGATCAGAAAATACAGATAAGCAAAAGGAAGAAAATGAAAATTACTACCCGTATTTAACCACTGTTTAAATTTGAACATCTATCCTTCCAAACATATTTCTACTTCTTGGTTATTCAGGGAGCTGGGGGAAAAATCCTTTTTTCTTCCTATATCAGACATGTTTGGGTAGATCATTGTATTGGTTGATTCTTTTTTTTTCTTTTTTATATTGGTTGATTCTTTATGAAATATTTCCTAATTTTGAATGAGTGAGAAGGTATGAAAAATACTAGGCAAAAGTTAAAATAGGGCCGGCCCCGTGGCGCACTGCTACAGTGCGCTGCTTGAGAGCACGGTGGCGCTCCCGCTGAGGGTTCGGATCCCACATACAGACCGGTTCCCGCTCACTGGCTGAGCGAGGTGTGGGAGCAACACCGAGGGTTGCGATCCCGTTGCCGGTCTGGGTCCGGTACGGGCGCGACACTGAGGGTTGCGATCCGTTGCTGGACACGAAAAAAAGACAAAAAAAAGGAAAAAAAAAAAAGTTAAAATAACTCTCATGAAATATTTGCCTTTTTCTATTTTTTTTTTTTTATTATTGTGTAAAGATAGGGATGAAAGAAGGTAAAGAGGAAGGAAGAAAAATTTGGTGGAAAAACAACATATATAAATAAGAGGACAAAAATCAACTAAAATTCAGAGACATTAATGTCTTTCAGACCAATTTGGGGAGTGAGGGGGGGTGGTAGAAAATCCGCATGGACCAGCATCTTTTTTCTCAATGTAGCTGCCCAGTCAGGGGGCTATGAGGACCATGATAATGCCCAGACTAGTAAAGTCAGTCATATATACTGGCATTTGGTGCCCATGAAATCAAGTGGATGCCGATATCACTGTGTTAAACAGTGAATGTCCCGAAAAGATTCTGATCTCAGGGTAGGGACAGCAATTGGAAACAAATGTCTCAGAAATGCATGCTATTAGTCCCAAAGGCAGCTTGGTAAAAGTATGAATGACTCAGCATAATCTAATTTCACTCCCAGGGGAAGAAAGTGCACTGAAGCGTGTATCTCACTGATTATTGTTATAGTTTTTATGTGACTACACATAATAACCATGTTGGTTTGTTGGTTTCTTTGAATTACAGTTCAAGTTGCCTTAATATTTGGTGCAAGAGTATTAGACTATATCTTCAATTTGTGCCAAGGTAAATTTGACTTCCTTGAATGGCTCTCAGACAGTTTGCTCCTGAATATCATTTCTTATCTGGATCTTGAAGATGTTGCTAGGCTTTCTCAGACATCACGCAGATTTGCAAAGGTAATAGTCAATTATTTTGTGTCTATATAGAATTTTCAATGTGCTTTCTCAAAGCTTTTTTTTTTAATAGAGCAGTGATTTATTATTTGTATTCCTTTTTTTTTTCCCCCTTTTTAATGAAACTAGGTCACTGCTTACAAAAACCAGCACGAGCATTTGTGCCCATCCCCTTCATAGTTCCCATGGTTCAGCTTCTCCCCCTCTCACAGGAACTGAAACAAAGTAGGTGTGGAACAGCCACCACCACAGACTCATTGAACAACATGAGGGGAGATGCCCTGGGCTCCAACCCTGAGCCTTTAGAGGGTGACAGTTCTTCCTCCCATGTCTGTTCCCCTGGGGCCTGGAGGTCGCATGAATGAGGGTGGTCCATGCCGCTATGGCTCTCACGCTGCCTCCCAGACCAGAGTGAAATGATGTGAATGTCCTGCCCCATAGATGCTCCCCTCCATAGATGCCCCCCTCTCCAGTAGTTTTCACCCTCCACCCCCACACCCCTGACTCTACCCCACAACTGAGATGAGACCCAACTTCCATTGCAAGGGTCAGGGCCTGCAGGCTATAGAACTCGAGTCTCCTGTCCATGCCTGTTGAAGCAATGAACTTGGCGTGGTGCCCAAAGACCACTTCTGTGGTCAGGCTGCTATGCTCTGTAAGGTGAAGAATCTCCATCCACTGTTTGGAGATGTAGATCTGGGCATCCATGCCCCCAAGAGACAGGAAGTTACAACTGAGGTAAAAAATCAATGATTTCACCTCAAAGTTGTTATCCAGCTGCAATGTTCTGAAGTTCTTAAGCTTGTGCAGATCCCAGAGCTTGACAGAGAAGTCATCAGCCTCTCTAGCCAGATAGTAGCCGTCCTCGGAGAAGGCAATGCTGGTGATGGGGCCTGAGTGCCCAGGGAAGTTGGGCATGTTGGTGCATTCCTTCAGGTCCCAGATCTTGATCTGAGAGTCTATGGTTCCTGTTTCAATGATGAGTCCATCAGGGTGGAGCTGCACACAGGTGAGAGAGCAGCTGGAGGTCTCATCTGTCACCTTGATGAGCACACGCCCTGTCTGGATGTCAGAGAAGGCACGGTACTGGTCATCAGAGAAGCTTAGGAGACAGTCACCAGTGACATGGAAGCTGAGGCCTGTCACAGCACTCTAATGGGTTTGAATAACCTATACACAAGAGGTGTTTGAGACCGACCAAATCCTGATGGTGGCATCTGGAGAGGCAGAAGACACCAGCTTCTGAGAGGGTGAAACACCACACTGGTGACCTTTTTGGTATGGCCTTTGAGAGTGGCCAGGATCTTCTCAGAACTCTTGTCAAAGACAAAGTTTTTATCTGCCCCACCACTGAGAATCTTCTTGGTGTCGGAGGGGCAGAGGTCTAGAACAAGGATCCCAGGTATTTGCTGAGCTCTTCTGGCTTCACCAGCTCTTCAGGCACAGTCTTCCCTCTCTTCTTACACTCCATGGTTAGCACAATGGCCTTGTTTTGAAGCTTCTGGATAATCTCAGGGGTTATTCCCACCAGCTTGCCCAAATCCATTGGCTCACCTGCACTCATAATACTTGGCTATGAGCTTGGCACAGACTGGGGCACGATGACACTAGCCTGCGGTTTCACTGTAGCCAGAGCTTCTCAGGCAGCAATGGTCCTTGGTGAGTAGGGCAATGACATGGCAGGCGGCATTATGCTGGTACAGATCATGGGACAGTTCTTGGTGGGTTGTCTGCAGCTGCAGGCACAGAGTGCAGCTGTGCTGCATGACCACATCCCATTCATCCTGCAAGGCTTTCAGGATGGCTGGGATGCTGGTGGCTGAGAGAGGCTTGGGCCAGCTTGGGTGAGCAACTTTTATGTCAGTGAGCTGCTCCTCAGACAGAGGCTAGTTGTTGATGGGGTCTCTACAATTCTCTGCAATGTATTTCTCAGTGAGCCGCCACTGCTAGACATGATTAGAGACAGGGGACACACATGGGTGCTCTGGCACGTCATTGGAGATGGAGCAGATCAGGGACATGGCACAGTCACTAAGCTCCAAGGCACCTCACACCAGGGTCCTGGACTAGCTGCTGCTTGCATTTATTTCAACAGTCATTTGTTGAGTACTAACCTTGTGACAGACACAGTCCTAAGCACACAGACAGCACAGATGAAAAGATATTATTCCTGCTCTCAAGGAACTTACACTCTACTGGGAGAGATTCATGCAGATACAGATAATTACAATATAGTATGATCAATTCAACAAAGATGTGTGTGCAAGGTACAAAGACAGTGCAAAGTGATTTCCTTTGCCTGGCTTCACAGAAGGGGATTACTTTATATGGAGTTTGACAGGTGGTCTGGAGGACTAGGGTCATTCCAGGTCAAGGGGCATTCAAGGCCAGGCACAGCTCAGGCGGAGGCATGGTGACATAAGAGAACAGGCAAGTGGTAACCACCCACATCCATGTCCACTTCTTCCAGTAACAGCCATTGCTGAGTTGCAGGATGTGTGGTTTGGTGGCCGTCCATCGCAGTGCCCTGTTCTCCTTCTCGCCCCATGCTGACCAGATGAACTCTCTCACCACTTTGAATCCTCAGCAGAATGTACACAAGAACAGAAAACACAGTTGGTGCTGATTTCAGCCAGTGTCAGGGCCTTGACATGACCTTTATCAGTTCCACTCCTGGATCCTGGAAGGTGCCTTGATTCCTGCCCCTTCAGCTGTTTCTTCAATTCTACAGCCCCTCCCTCCACAATCATACACTTACTCACCTGCCATTCAATCCCTTTTCAGCTGAAGTTCGTCAAAGTGGGAGTCTGTTGCTTGCAATAAAGAACACGATGAGCTCGATATTTAGAGTATGTAATGTATTGGGACAATGTCAATTTATAAAAGAACACACAGTTTCCAGGATAATTCAAATAATAATCTTAAATCTAAAAAGTCAACATTTTCCACAATAATGTGATAAAATTTCTTGAGTTTAAAAATTAATTTAAAGTAATTTAATCTGCATTACTTATATCCCTTTTGAGTATAGAAAAAATATATATATTTACTTGATTTTTTCCCCCTAAAAATGGAGGGCCAGAAATAAGTACTCATGAGTAATCATCATACGTGTGTGTGTGTGTATTTTTTTTG